ACCAAAAATTCAACTTTTCAGCAGCATGTTTTGTMAAAACAGATCAAAATGACAAAAATATGGCTTACATGTTTATTCGATTTGCTGCGAAAGTTTTGTCTTTGATGAATTCAACAATAGTAAGAAGAACCCACTTCCGTTCGCTTCTGACGTGGGTTTTTTGCACTACTGGGAGGCGAGCCCAACTCTTAGTCCAAAAGAGGGGGAAAAATGCTTCCCCTTTGAACTACCGCTAGTCCTGCGGGCATTTTCTCGCATCATGTCCGATTCTCTACAATTGATAATTCAAAGCAAACAAAAGCTTATCAAGAAATCTTRGTCTTTGACACGAGCAACAATGTTCAACACAACCCTGACCAGCTGATGCGATTCAAAAATACAATGATTCGAGCGCACGAAATTTACCAACGTGCGATATTGAGCTCTCAAAATGCAATAAAAACAAAACAAAGAATGTTTCTTTTCATATCACCTTTGAAACGGTTTTTACATTGCTTATTGTCCCTGTATGTTGCCAATGTATGTTTGTAACTTTCATTTAAACTCGAGGGCTACTCTTCATTAATTCTGGTCCATTTGTGTACATTTTCTGGGTAATTCTTGTTCATAGTAATCTCACCCTCAAGAGCCAATTACATTGAGAAAAATAACAGTAATCTTGCTTTAGCATAAATACAGGCTAGCGAACTGTACTCGCTACTTACTTTCAGTTACAATCTATTGTTATAAATCATTTATATTTAATYCTCGACTCAGTAGTTAATTTTATTGACAGAAAAGCGTGCACTAATGTCTCTCGCCTTTTGAAGCAGCCTTTTTCGCGCCGCGTTTGCCAGCCTACTTAATAGCTTTAAGCCCTAAAATAACTTTTTGAATATTCCCTTTAAAAAACTTCACTACTTTGCAATCACGAATGTTGCATTAGTGTTAAAAGCATGTCTCATCGAGCAATTACGTAATTTGTTTCAAAAGCACTCAATCAACATCTTCAGCCCTCAAACAACGTGTGTCGGTTTGCCTTTGATTTTTGTCTGCGCTTTGCTTCGCGCGCTCTCAAAGCTCTCAATCACATCAACCATTTTGGAAGAAAGTTCTCAAGTGCAACTACCTATATTTTCAACTTTATTTGTTTACAAAGACCGTAACATCTGGTTATTTTTCTTTCGGGGGAAATCGTTTTTGACGAGCCATTGATTTAACATGTTGAAATGTTTAAAGGTTATTCCGGTGCTAAAAGAAGAAGTGGAAAAAATAAAAAGTGGGAGGAAAATGAGACAAAACGAGACATTTTTTTACACCTTAGTGAATCAAATCCTTTGACGACCTCCAACAAATAGTGATTAAAAGAAAAACGAAATTTGGAAGAAATGCAGATTTACTTCAATATACTTCATTGAGCTCCAAGTTTGCGTGAAGTCCTTCATTGATCTGTGGTTAAGGGAAAACGGAATAGATACAACTGAATAAATTATTACTATATATTAAGCGAAAAGATATAGATCTTTTAAGAGAACGCCACAAAAAAGGGAAAAATAAYAATAGCCGAATGAAATATTAAGGAATGGAAACGGCYATTTCTCGCGAAATTTCTAGAGGTGAAAAAGCTATGGAATAATCGACAAATTAAGATTAACAAGGGCCTAAACATGTCAAGTTTAGAGACTCTGATTCAGAACAAGGTTGTTTATTTATTTTTTCGCCAATTAATCGGTMATAKAGTGTAGTAGTGAGCGCTGATCAAGAAGCTCCTTTTTTGAATCGATTAGTTTTTGATCTTAATCACGCAAGTTAGATAATACCACTAACTTCCAAATAATAACCTTMTAAATGATTTAGATTTGAGATACCGCAAAGACGAGCCATGCCCCAGAACTCATATGCTCTAATTGCAAGTTTAGAAGAATTACTAGAAAACTCGAGTTTTATCTTCGAAATTAAATTGTTGTTTATAAAGAGATAAGAAGGATGAATTCGAGACGACGCTGAGGAAACCATATCGAGTTGATATAGAAACTGCATAGATTAGAACAAAAAGGGGCAGAAAGGAAGAGGAGAGATGGGTGGAAAGAAGAGAAAAAATATAAAAAGAGAGCTGAGAGGAGAAATAAACAAAAGGCAAAAATATATAGAAAGGGAAGAGAAAAGGAAAAAACGGAAAGAAAAGAAGTGAGAAATTACTACTAATCTCATTATAAACTAAATCTCTCATTCAAAAACAGTTATCAACAAAGTTTTAAGCTCCTAAAAATCAATATTGCTTTTTTTTATGGCAAGAGCATTATGCTAGAACTGTGCAYGTGTCGAATATTATTTCGCAAGAAAAAAAAAATATATCTGTGGCTATATTTCATGCTGCCATAGCTGTTTCAAAACCTTCGTGATACAGGTAGAAACTAGAGCTATGAGCTTTGCTACAAATGGCAAAAATCTGATGCTTCGAGCGGGACTCAAACCCATAACACGCCGATTYRTGGCGGGTACTCTACCGCAGAGCTCCTGAAGAAGCTACCATGGAGAGGGGCGAGAAATTACTCCAGAAGACATTGATTTTTTACCATGATTTGCTTCGCTCAAWGTTCCCTCAGTACCAGGATTTCTTTTGTTGTTGATGATCTTTAGTATGTCATTATCATCATCAATAATAACAATTAATCATCAATAGTATTAATAATTATTATTATTAATTGAGCAATAATAATAACTATCTTGATGGTGAAGAATAACATTGCATTTATGGCATGTATATTTTAACCTTGATTATCAATAGTTTCAATAATAATCATTATTAATTATTAATAATGATTGTTATCATCCATGAAAATGATGATTATTATTGTAGTTTTTCGGTATATATAGTGATACACAAACATTATTTGACAACATGATATATCTATAATATTATAACATACTTAMATAATTTCATGTTGTGATAAGGAACTACATCTCATACATCATAAGCAATAATACTTTAATATAATAATGATCATTTTTATACAATTTTAGTTCAATGATAAGTATTGTGTTCTAGATGCATTTTTCAACACACAAAATATTTAAGGACGCACCAAATCTATGTGCAGTGARTAACTGGAACACACTCATTTTTTAACTCAGTGACTCTGTTAACAGCCAAAGAGTTATATTTACTCTAACTATCAGATTTTTTTTATTTATCTCAATAAAGATTATTATTATTATAACTACATATCAGCCTTGGGAACCCAGGGGTAATCTTCTGTCGTTAGTTCCTAACTCCCAGAAAAAATACCTCTGGTCACGAAGTCTGTTAGACCTTGTTCTCGATTCGAAATTCGAAATGGCAGCCGGTCAATTTCTGATTGGTCGAGTGATTCACTCGAACATTCTGATTGGTTGATTAACTTACTGGCCGCCATTTTGAATTTTGAATCGAGAACAAGGTCTAACAGACTTCGTGCCCAGGGGTATTTTTTCTGGGAGTTAGGAACGAACGACAGAAGATTACCCCTGGGTTCCTGAGGATGACTGCATATTTGACTAGGAGAAGAAGAGTCCCTAACACATAAGATAGACTGAAGATTATATTTAAGAACAAGTTCAATATTATTAGCAAATGCTGAGCCTTTATACAAAATGACTTCCACAAGAATGGACTAAGAACTTTGAAAACTTCAAGTCACGGTAAAAAGGTGAGCCAGCTATACTATAAGCCATGGTCAGCTGTTTCAGCCTATATGGGGCTTTGTCAGCATAGCCTGGTGAGCTTGTAAGGTCCCATCCCATATAAGGGAGGCAAGGTGCCCTAATGTAGGTTAGACTCAAAAATCATGAAAAAGCAAGCATACTGAGAGCAGACAATTCAAGATGGCTGCACAGAGAATTTTTATGACTTCTAGTTGCTTTATCAAAAAAAAAAAAAAAATCAATGAGCCAGCTCAACCAGCACCGGTGGACATAGCTGTTTTTTTACATTGGGCCTTGTCAACACAGCGTGCCAAGTGAGCTGGACCCAAGAAAAACTGATTGAAATTCAAAAGAGTAGAATGGTCTCGTCAATGATCCCATACAATAATAGACACTGAGCCATGTGGGAATAGGCTCGGAAATCATGTACGAGCATGCTCAATAAGCTTAAACAAGAGAAGAAGAGTGTGGYAAAGCCTTTGACATTAGAAAATATACTAGCCCAACATAGTATAACTGAACAAAGATGTTTCATTGCCCCATCTACACAGTGCATCAAGCTTTCATGAAGATTGACTTCAGCAAAGAAAATATGAAAAGAGGCAATAAGATGATTGACAGGCTAAMCTGCCTTAGAAAGACTGAATCATTTTACTATTAGTTGATTATAAAGTTAAACAATTTTCTTCTGACTGGCAGTATTGAGAATGAACAACCCAGGATTTGCATGATTGTCAAGTCATGTCTACATTATAAAGAGCACAAATAGATTATTTATACAAAATTATATTCATTTATAACATTAAAATGAAGTACTCGCCGATTTCGATGAAGTATTCCCAACAAAAATCCGCGAAAACTTCGCAATTCTTGGCTGCGTTTTGAGTTTTCCCGCCATAAACGTACTTGTACACAATCGAGACTATTACAATGGAAAAATTGCAAATTTAAGCAAAAATCAATAATAATAAGCAAGAATATCAAAGTTATATTACCATCATTTACGTCTTGTCAAGTTTTTAGTGCAGAAATCACTTTAAAAACCACCAAATTTGCATTTAATTCAGATTTGCATGAATAATGAGTCTGTAATGTGCTGGGTCAGCGGCTTGTAAAAGGAGTGGGGAGGGGAGGGATTAAAATTATTCTCTATGTCTATCTATTATATTGCTAGTATTTGAGTTATTTCTTTCTATTTACAATTTAAAGTGAAGATAAACTGGGTAGTCATGTKTAATGTTTTGCAAATATATCTTGCTAATCAAAACGGATTTTGATTATTTGAAATTATACCCTCCCCTCCCCTCTAAACTTTTTTGTTGTATTTATAACGAAGGAGGAACCTGGGCTCGAAATTGAGTTCGAATCGATCATCATATCATGGCCGAAGGCGTTGCAAAACTGGATGAAAACGACCCTTCTTTCCGATCTGAAAAGCCTCCAGAATACCAAGAAAGAACAGATATGACTTCAGAAAGCCTTTCAGAACCAGAYACGACRAATTCAAGCGTCCCAAATGTGGAAATTCGCGATCAACGYTTCTATAACCAACATCCTCCTATGGCCCCAGTTTACAGCAATGAAGATGTAAAACAGATCAGTGAAAATATGAAAAAAGAAGAGGCGAAAAAGTACTTTTCTTTAAGAGTAAGTAGAATAAGTTGAATTGATATTTCTTCTCTGAACTGTAATYTATTTTTCATTGTAATAATGTTCGCATCGACAATAAATCAAGGAATCAAARTACGAGGTCCATCAAAACTTGCAGACGCTTGGCTGCCATGCTCTTGTCAATTAGACTTTAGCCAATAAAACTCAACAATGCTCCATTTTTTWWATAAATGGGAGCCATCGGCGTMKATTTAAATRTATTTTTCAGAGCACAGTGCGACAAAAACAAAATCTGCACATCTTCGAAAATCGTTATTTATTAATAACAAATGACGTCATATGACAACTTCAAACACTCCATATGTTATATATAAATCAATCGTCATAAATTTGTAATTCCATAACGAAAAGTCTTTTGGTGTTATTMAAACTTGAAAGGAGTTGTCTTTATTTATGAATATTTAATTATTTGAATTTTAAGCAAAACCTTTGATGTGTAAAATGTTGAAAACATTAAGTTTTATAATTTTTTGTTACTCTCAAGGAAGGACAGTTTGAAAATGCTGTGGACACTGATTGCAAGGCATTCATAAATCCAGAGGAGGATGGCGAAGTTGTTAGCTCTTATCTTTTGACAGAGTAAGTAAAATAATAAATTAGATAAATTATTTATACAGTTTAGACGAATCCAGATAGGTGCAGAGTCCAAATCACCTCCTGGTTCCTTCTTTCTTTTAATTTATACTTTTCTTTGTTTGTCATAACTGTGGAGTATTTACCAATAAGAATTTGTAGTCTGTWATAAATAACCTTGTTTTTATAGCAAAATCTGGTTGAATTATATAGCTCTTGCAAAACAATATTTTGTTTCAAAAACAAAGTTTTCTAACTCAAACCACATTACTTCAAAATTGTTTCAAAATAATTATCCCTTAATACTGCAGCTGAAAAATAGTAAATAGTCTATTTTCTATTACTTTTTCATAGAATYGATCACTGGGACCACGAAAAAGAACGAATTGTTATCATCACAGAAAAAAAGCTCATTCTAGTCAAGTACAACTTCATTGGATTAAGAGTTGAAGATCATCGTAAAATCCCCCTTATCAAYTGTGAYAAAATACAGAGTGGACGTTTCACATACCCCAAGAACACAATGATGATGTAAGTTGGATTATTATACATGTACAGTAGGGTG